AGAACGCTACGAACTTCTAGTGATACGGTTATGTTTGGCGAATAATGAACTTTGGGTGTTTCAGACTGATCTTTTTGTGTGTCAGTTATAAGCCAAAGAGAAACGATTTGCTCATATTTTCGAATGAATCCCAAATTACATTTAAGCGGGTTTCGTTTCCCACATTCGGTTTTACATAGGCCGCATTGGCTATCCTTACGTCTCTGAACGTTCATCACTTCTTTTTCTTTTCCAGCCCGAATTGAATTCCACTGACCCGGCTCATCTGGCACGTAGAGGCCAATCGAAACAGTTTCCTCACTGTCATCGTCGCCATCATCCTCACCGCCACCAACATCCTCATCGGTCTTGTTGTGAGGGTCAACTTGGCTCTTCCTGTGCCGGTCACCATACTCCCCAGTCCTCACCTAACACATATTCCAATCCGATACAGTTGGCACACAAACGCCATGCAAGTTTGGGCAGTTTGGAAGAACAACAATACTGCGCGACAGCAGTGTCAAAGTCATCGGAAACGGCCCACTCCTGTATGAAGCCCTCCACGTCCGACCATGTGCCGAACCCGGTGGTTTTGGGCTGGTTAACCGACAGTGCTCATTTGCCTTGGGAGGCACAGAGCACAACACGTCCAGATCCAGACTGGTCCACACGCAGTGGACATACAGTCAAAGCGCCCGGTCCGGGCGAGGATGTGTGCTCTGCAAGTGGAGTTACCAGTACATTGCAGACCACATTTGCCTCGGAAACTTCGATTCCGGGCTCTTCTGGTACGTCATACTTGTTCTCAGCTCACGTATTCGGCTTACAACTGTGTTCGCACGTTGACTTGCTCCTGGCCGTTTCGGTCATTTTATTGATTCACATGAGGGGTGAAAGATCATCTTAAGAAAAAAGGGGGAAGTAGTTTAATCAGTATGGTCTCCCAACATTATAGTCTGTCTGCCGCACGTGTGAGAACCAGGCCGGCTTTAGACCTAAAAGAGGTTGTATAGACCACATCTCCTTCTTCGTCGAATCCCGGAGCACTTACACTCATTTCGTAAACGCACCATATTTGTCTGCCTCCAACTGAAAGCGACATTCGACTCAGTCAACCACTCTAAATTCTAATGCTGCTTTTCCCTGAAGCTTGTGTCACAGAAGCTGAGTCCGGACCTACTGTACTTTGCGCCCGAGTTCACCACAGAGAAAGCTGTGTTCGTCAGGGTTACTTTTTCTCTCTCTCCTTTTCTATTCAATTTTGCAATGAATTCGATTATTGAATCAGCCCTATCCTCGCACCAGTATAGTGGCATCGATATGCTTCCGGGTCGTTAGATCTGGAATTTGTGGGCGACGTATAGCTAAGTGAAGATCCAGGTAAGATGCAAGTCTTTCTGGATGGTTTTAGTGATAGTATGCTTTTTGCGACTTTTAAGTGTAGGTTGCTGCTGCAGGACCGACTGGGTTCAGTTCGTAACCTCACCCTGATTGAGGAAACAATATTGAAAGTAGACCATTTTGCTATGTGAACAGCTGCATTCCATCCGACGAACTCATCACAGAACAAGTGTCTGTATGCATACAGAGGGCTCGATTGGCACTTGCCGGCTTGAGGCATCTATGATGTCGTCACTATGTCCAGTTTTCTGTGAGGGGGTCGAGTGTATGCTGCAGCAGGTAGGCCAGTCCTGATATACGGTACTAAGACCTGGTCATAGAGGGAATATAAAAGAGGCAGTTAGTGTATGGTCCAACTAAAACCTGGCATTAGGGTGTGTTGGTCGCGTTAGGCTTCCTGGATGGGTATCCCAGGATGATTGTAACCAATGGTCAGAGACATTCAGTGATATGGCTGATTGTCGTGAGCCTTGGCGCGCGTACATTTCAACCTTTTTGCATCCCCAATATATATAGATTCCTTATTTCTACGTGGACACCGCTTTCGACATGCATATCTTTCCTTTACTCTTTCATCCAAATTGGCAGCCCAAAGAGAGCAACCAAAACCGCCGCATGAATTTGCGTGAGTAATGGTTGCACAAATTGAAATCTGTTTACAAACCACTTATCAATAGACTTAGATCAAGTATGATTCGTACCATTTCTAACTTTGAGCGAGACTGGAAACACCAATTGCACTGAACAGCGAATCTCGAGACGCTATTAGTGCTTCGGCCGTCAAACATGTTGCAGAAGCGCACATGTGTGCGCGATAATATGACGTAAATCGCCATTGTTGATGCTTTTAATGGTAAACAAACAAAAGGCCTAAACAGTAATCTACCACTGGTTATTCTTGTGTACATTCATTCATGAAAGATTTAATCACCTTACCTGGATGAACAACTATGGTGATGCTGTTAAATTAAACATCACTAAGAATCACACTACTTCCAATCTTTCTGTGTTAAGTCGAACGGAGTTTTTCACACGGAGTTCAACTGCCGTATAGAAGACAGCTAGTTCCCATCCGTAGTAATCTCCAAAATTTAGTTGGTATAATAATAGGTGTAGCAACGCGTGGATTCTATCATCAATCTGCGTGTTTTCTTTCGTCCTTCAGCCTTCGTTCGTTCTTTGGTCTCACCGCGTGATCATAAGTATCTGGGTCATCTGGCACTTTAGGAACCTCTCTCTATCTTGTCTACGCCTTAGCTTGGCAAAATGCTCATGCGAGACTGATTGGATCTGATGGTTTCGCTCAGTCCAGTAACTTGCTACGTCGCACACCTTTAGGTTGAGGTTGATCTCCTTTACTGGGTGTTTTGTAACAAACGCATTTCATAAGCGGCTAAGATTTCGTATACGTATTCTCAACACATTTTACTCTCAGAACTGCGGGTTATGTATTTGAGTTTAACTTTGTTCTTCTCTCTTACTCATTTTCACCAATCTGTCAGAGATCCCGACGGATTCCGGGGCGCCTCAACTTCCTTGGTTTGATCTTCCTGCTCAGTGGTGGTTGAGCCATTACCCTCGACCTGAGCACACTGCAGTTGCACGACGCAGTGTTTCATGTGTGACTGGAACAAAGCCGTGTCTGAGTTCGACGGATACGCGAATTGTGGCCACTTTACCTGCTCGGCATGAGCTGGAACCGGCTGCGCTTCGACCAAGGCTGTTTGATGCACAAGCTCAATTGTCCCAGCAACAGCCGAACTCCCTTCACACTGCGACCTCATCTTCCGGTGTCGCGCTGACAGTGGGCTCTTCATCCTCATCCGGATCTAGTGGAACCACTCGACCGGGATCCCACTTGGCTCTCAGTTGGCCTCCGCCCCCTGTCCCAGAGGAGCCGTCCGGTTGGCATGAATCGGAAGTAGTAGACGTGTACACTTATCCCTCGGATCCACGCCCCAATCAGGTAGGCGATCAGCTCAGTATACCGAAATCGGTTGCACTTTAAGTGCCATATCGATCCACAAACAAGTTAACCTGATAATCCATCTTGTTCTTTTTTACTCATATGTCCAGGAATCGGTTTTGTGTCTGTCGGATGGTCAAATCGGTATGAATCATCCTTCTACGAAGAGAAACGACGTCGATGTGCAATGCGACTTTTCCGGGGATAGTTTGTGCCAAAATCTCCCTTCTCTGGAAACACAGACCTCTGTCACCTTTCAGCGATCACCAAATAATGCTTCCCTTATTCTGGTTGCTACTCAACTGGAAGAAGTTCACCAGGAGGCCAAAAATCTACGTTCTCGACGGTATGTTTTCAATCAACTGTTTGCCTGTTTTTGTTTAGTGTTACTCGTGAGTAGTACAAATATAAAATGTTAATAGTTTGTCGGTTATTTTCCCGTGTTGTGTAGCTTCCATTTTGCGGGTGTCAGGTTGAATTTGTCTAATCTATACCGTTTGTTTAAATTATAAATCCCGTCGTATACTGTTATATTCGAGCCTTCCGTCTGGGAGTCTTTTTTCAATTTTACTATTTCTATCTGATCACGGATTTTTTTCATTTTCATGTTTCCTTCTATTGAATATGCAATGATACAACTTTTAGGAAGTGGGGAGCTGCCAACCGAAGGGTTGCCACGCAATACATAATGAGGAAAGTCAGGCGTTGGTGTTTGGATTGGAATACACGCCCTCCAGGTGATAATTTTACGGTACCCCTGGGCCACCACCGCCAGTCCCTTTAGGATCATGTATTTCCGCTCTAAAAGACTCTTCAGTTGTCAAGCTCTTTTTTGAAGGCCGCAGTTTTGTCTAAACTGTTCTCCTTTCTTGAATTTTTCATTCCCTACTCCATTATCTTCTCTACAGTGAAACACTTTCATCCCGCCTTACGAACACTTTGACTCGGTATCGTCGACACACGACAGATTGTCTTCTGCCTCCAACTATGTCTGGAAATAACCAATTCGATCATCAATCGGCAAAAGGTGAGGAAACCTCGTTCGCGACAACGGATACACCACTACGCCATTATTCGACTGTAGAAAGTGCACAGTGCTCACCTAAAGAACAAGGGATTGCAGCTGAGGTTAAGTCCAAAGAGAACGAGGATGGGACAACAATTCAGAATACACCCGTGGTCGAAACAAGCGACGGTGTGACGTCAGGTCAAGTGGAGCATGTTGAAGAAGCAGAAGAAGAGGCGGCAGAAAGCTTATGCGCTCGTCTGGCCGCGATTGAATTGCTCCTGCAACAGGCGGAATCGACCGAAGCCCGATTACGAGAAGAGTTCAATCAGTGTCTTCGACAAACTGCGGTTAACGGATACGGCCCGCAGTCGAAGTTGTCCGATCAGTCAGTCGACCCGATTCCAACTATTGTGAGTTTTTTAGTCTAAATTTTGTTCCATTGAAAAGAAAATAATCCATTCACTGTGTGCTCGGAAAGACAAGCATGAGCTTTATCTCTTTCTCCTGTCAGGGACCTATGCCATATATATATATATACTCCTGCCAAAGTCTATAACAGAAATGATTAACCACTAACAGTTCATTCAAGGGAGTTGGCAAAGAACTCTGATTCCAAACCAACCAACAAGAGGCAAAGGAACCACGTATGTGTCACACGTCTGATTTCAGACCGTGCCAAAGAAATCACGGTACAATAATGTTTATTGCAACGAAAAAATTTAAATGGCCACGATTATCCTACAGTGTCCAGGCATAGGCAAGTGGATTTTATTGGAGATATCACAGTCAAGGTTTTTGACCAGACAAAGACTGACCCACAAGACTGTCTGGTAGTATGTGAATACCGCAATCCACTGGGGCCCCATGTCTAGTTCATTGTATCATGCTTCCTTTGGAAACCGTCAAACGTCTAAGTACCCATACACTTCGATGTCTAATGGAGCCGGTGGCCAATGCCAAAAGAAAGGTGTGGTTTGGTTTGGTGTGTCCGCCCCTCACAAGTTGGTTTGGAATCAGGGTTTTCAGCCAACTTCCCCAGAATAACTGCTAGTGGTTTACCGACCCTGTTAGTCCCAAATGTTGTTGTTTGGGTAACGGCGAAGTGGTTTGAACAATACGGAGTGGGTTGTGGTCATAGAATGGTAATAAAATCCCAGACCTGTTTCTCGGTCGGGAAATTTGTATGAGTGTTGTTAAAAATGAGTCGCATGCATATATATATATATATGCAACTTATATGTTTTGTATGAAATTCAGTCGTGGTGTAAAGTGAACTTTCAAAAATGCTCACTCATTAATGCAGATATCAAGTTATCTTCTTGAGCCTAATATGTTACTCATCTTTGTATGCTACAGTTGAGCGCCAATTCCCCGATTCTTTTCTTCAGCACTTGTCAGGATCCACCATGATATATTAGAAGAAAACACACACTGTCCGGTAATGCCGACACTAAGCATGTACAGCTTATCTACAGTTTCTAAATTATACATGCACCCTCTTTCCCCATGCCATCCTTTCATACTTAGGTAACATGATTTTCCTCGTTTCCAGATTTCGATCTGTCACAAAAGCTGCATGTGTCATGGTTTCTATGTTAGTGTTTCATTGTATCCTCATCTTTATTTAAAACTTTTCGTCCTTTAGCTCGCTTCTTGTGTGGGTGGGTGTGGATAGATGTTCGAAACTCATGCGAATTTTCGACTCATTTAGGTCATTTGTCTAGTTGAAGCATAATACACATGGCGGGGGTAATGACCGCATTCCCCTTGGGGCCGGTGTCTAGTTCATCTGATCAGACGCCATTTGGACGTGGCAAAACGTCCAAGGTGCCTAATCCACTTCGTTGTTCAATCAAGCCGATCATCACAGGCATATCTACATAGAACTAAGAACATAGATTTTGGAGATAAAGTCAGGAATAAATACAATTTGCTCATAACCATCTACATATAAGTATAATATTGCAAGCTGAAATGGATTTCCAAAATGAGGGTGATGTTGCACGAGTTTGGTCAACATCTGTAGAAAGATTCGGGCTGTACACCTCCTCTCGATTGGTTTAGAATCAGGATTTTCGCCAACTCACTGAGGTAACTGCGGTGGTTCACCGAGCTGCTCATAGCCTCATATGTTGATTTTCCATCCTATCACTATGTTGAACGACCTCAGTCACGTGAATGCATTGAGTCATACTTCGTCAAAAGAGGCCATTTGAAGTGCTTGATCATATAGAAGTATGTTGCGGAATTTGAGGGAACGGTGACCGACTACGCCTAATGAAACTTATCCTCGACCATGCTGGGGCTTTGCGAGTGGCTGCTTTGTATCAGTAGTGATAGCAGTAGCACTATATGTGGCATTACTTCGATTGAGGCGGAAGATATAGCGAAGCGTTTATATATAGCTCGGAAAGTAAAAAATCATTTTCGACAAAAACGGACGAGGACTGCATCACGAATTCTATGCTTTCAACGGTACATTGTGCTGTAGGATGGTATACTGAGTTGCTCATGTTAACCAGTAGTCTCACTGACACGATCGTCATTCACTTACCTCATTCTCTCCTTCGTATCCAGTCATTCAACACTCCGCATGTGTGCGTTGACATTCTCTTCTCCAATACCTGTTCTTTTATCTTGTTTTTTTGTTGATTCATACGTTTTTAATTCAGATCTTTATGGAGGTTTTGGATCGGCGGTGTCTCCAATCCTGAATTGATAGCTTTTCTCATTGTTCCCCGTTCGACACGCCTGCTTTACCCGAGAATCATCGTCGTATCACTTGAGTCAATAATCGTTTACCCACTCACCCCCCTTCCCGGTCCTTTTTGATTGATCCCATTATTTCCCTTATACGACCCTTCTACATTGCTGTCGGTTCTTTCAATACTAACCGCAGTATATTCTCTCTTTTCATACCCAATTTTCAGTCTCATTCTGTGGCCTTCGATGCACCAGTCCCTTTGACTGTTTTGTCGCCACGACGACGTCGACGTGGTCGGCATGGTCGATTAGTCCCAACAGCACAGACCGTTACAAACCAAAGCCAGTCCTCTCGCGATTGTGAATCAATCCAACCGTTATGCGCCCATGCATATGGGAATACCGCAGACCCTGGCCCTGTTGATGGTCCAACTAACCACAACAATAACCCTAACAACAGTCGCGTTATCACTGGTCGCGGAGGCGGACGATCAAGAAGGCGAAATGGTGNGTTTCGCCTACCGCTATGGTCGTTTTTCATTGACCGTGTGCACGAATGCACGCCGTTACGTACGCTTCTCCAACTCTCCCTTATCACCGGTTGATCCGGTATACTTTACTCCTGTCTTCCCCTCTACAGCCCCATACATACCTTTCTATCCAATCAAACGAGTCACTTTCGCATTTATCTTGGTGCACCCGCATTCCATCCCACCCCGACACACACACACACAAGCTTTTTCAGACTAGGAGTTCTTCTCGAATGCCGGTCATCTCAATTACATTTCACCTCATCAAAATGAATCCGTTGCTTCCTTCAGCAATTCTTCCGTTCGCACTCGCCCACACCTTCCGGTTATTTCTTCTCACGCTTTAGGTCTCGTGCCTTGGATAGTTAACTGCTGGTTAGTTTGAATTATCCTGGCGCTTCTCTCCGCC